CGATGACTTATGTTCTTTGGAGCCTACGATATTTTTAGTCCAATCCGAACTACATCGTCGTTACATCGTCGTTATATCCAATTTTCCATGTTGTGAAACGAGATTGTGAAACGAGATCTTCGATCTTCGATTAAATATATTTGGCAATTCTTTTCATGGTAATATCCGACTATTTTTTTAATCGTAGCTTCTCAAATCAACCCTAAAAGGCATCTTCAGAATCTCCTGTTTGGGATCAATTCAAGCAACTAAGTTGACTGAAAAGTGTTGGACAATAAACTATGTCGATCGAGAGATAATTGATCAATACGAATATACATATATAGATATATACATATATATATATATATATATATATATATATATATATATATATATATATATATATATATATATATAACCTTGATTCAAAAGTCTGCTGCAAACTGGAAGAATCTGCATAAACAGTCCTAGCGTTTGTCTCTCTGCCAATAGATCAGCCAAATATCTGCCAGCATGGAAAAAATATTCATAATTATCGAAAAATTTACCGTTTCGCGTAATATCGAACCATTTCTAATTTAGTTCAACTCGTCCGTCCCTAGAGCCTAGACATAACAAAAACCTCGTAGAACAAGAAAATAAAGAAGGGAGCAAGAAAGCTTTAGAAATGAATTGTTTCATCATCCAAAGCTGCATCTCGATGCAAAAGTTAAAAACGGAACCGGTGTAGCGATTCACATCGTAACCGAGAATCATCATCCACCACTCACAAAACATAACAATAAAACCTTTCAATACAAAATCATCTACGAATCAGCCGAACGGGATTGCTTGAAACAACAAAACTCCACGAAGATGCGACACTCCAGTCAGTCATTAAATCAAACACCTCATATGCGATAATGCGAACCATTTTTTATTCTAAAAACACTCACACAGACAAACTCGAACCAAATTCAAAGACGACAGCAAATCACATTCGACAAAACAAACGAAAAACGATTAAAAGAAGGGCCGATAAAATCCTTGCCTTTCGCGATCTGTGAGAGACGAAGACCTCTGAATTGGACTATGGATGTTTGTTGGAGCGTACTGAAAGTAACTCCCGGCCGGGATTCTGTTCTCCATTACACCCAACAAATTCAATTTCTACAAACCTGCAAAAATAACCATATATATATATATATATATATATATATATATATATATATATATAATCAATCTGTTATTCAAGAAAACACAAATCCCACTACGATCGTATAGTGTTGGT